GCTAAAGGAAGATATAAACAAGTGGAAGCATATACCATGTTCATAGATTAGAAGAATTAACATCATTAAAATGTCCATACTACCCAAAGTAATCTACAGATTCAATCCAATTCCTATTAAAATACCAATGGCATATTTCACAGATTTAGAACAAATATTCCAAAAGTGTATATGAAACCATAAAAGAACCCGAATAGCCTCAGTAACCTTGAGAAAGAAGAATAAAGTTGAAGGGATCACAATACCAGATATCAAACTATACTACAAAGCCATTGTAATAATTAAAAAAGCCTTGTATTGACACAAGAACAGGCAAATAGGTCAGTGGAACAGAACAGAGCCCAGAAATCAACCCATGCCTTTATGGTCAATTAATATTTACAAAGGAGACAAGAGCATTCAATGGAGTAAATACAGTCTCTTCAATAAATGGTGTTGGGAAAATTGGACATGTACATGAAAAAAAATGAAACTAGACCACCAACTTACACCATACACAAGAATAAACTCAAAATAGATAAAAGACTTAAATAAAGTCACAAAAGCCATAAAAATCCTAGAAGAAAACACAGCCAGTAAGATTTCAGACATCTCATGCAGCAGTATTTTTGCTGATACATCTTCTAGGGCAGTGGTCGGCAAACTCACTAGTCAACAGAGCCAAATATCAACAGTACAACAATTGAAATTTCTTTTGAGAGCCAAATTTTTTTAACTTAAACCATATAGGTAGGTACATTGTTATTAACTCAATTAGGGTACTCCTAAGGCTTAGGAAGAGCCACACTCAAGGGGCCAAAGAGCCGCATGTGGCTCTCGAGCCGCAGTTTGCTGACCACGGTTCTAGGGCAAGGGAAACAAACAAACAAAAAAAATAAATAAACAAATGGGACTTCATCAAACGCAAAAACTTCTGCATAGCAAAAGAAGCCATCAACAAAATGAAAAAGGAACCCACTATATGGGAGAACATATTCGCCAATGATACATTTGATAAGGGGTTCATTTCAAAAATATATAAAGAACTTATACAACTCAATACCAGGAAGACAAACAATCCAATTAAAATATTGGGCAAATGACCTGAATAGATACTTCTCCAAAGAGGACATATGGATGGCCAATAGACATATGAAAAAATGCTCAACATCACTAATCATCTGAGAGATTCAAATTAAAACTGTAATGAGGTATCACCTCACAGCTGCCAGAATGGCTACCATCAATAAATCAACAGACAACAAGAGCTAGTGAGGATGTGGCAAAAATGGAGCCCTAGTACACTGTTGGTGGGAATGCAAACTTGTGCAGGCACTATGGAAAACAGTATGGAGACACACAATATTATGTTAGTTTCAGGTGCACATCATAGTGAGTAGTCATTTACATGTCTTATGAAGTGATCACTACAAGAAGTCTAGTTCATTGTATTATTTAAAATTGTCTTGAGGTCTCTTTAACATGAATTTTTTAAAAGTGTTGACTTTTCAAGTGTTTGGAGATTTTCCTGTTGTCTTTCTGATATTCTTTTCTAATTTGATTCCATTATAGTCAGAGAAAACACCATATACTATTTCAACTCTTTAAAAATGTTGTGGATTGTTTATAGTCTTGAATAAATCTATCTTGGCATATATTCCTTGGGTACTTGAAAACAATGTAGTTTTTACTGTTTCTTTTTGGTGTGAATTGGTCTATAAAAGTCAATTAGATCCAATTAGATGATGGCATTGTTGAGTTTTTCTATATTTGCTAATTTTCTGTCTAATTGTTCTATTGATTGTTGAGAGAGGATATTAATGTCTCCACCAAAGATGTGAATTTTTATATTTTCTCATTTCAATTTTTCTCTTTTTTCATATATCATGTAGCTCCTTTGTTGGTGCATGCACATTTAGGATTATTGTACCTTCTTGGAGTATTGATCTTTTTATCATTATGTAATGCCCCTCTCTGTCCCTGGTAATTTTCTTTGCTCTGAGGTTTATCTGCTATTTTTATTTACATTTTCATGATGTATCTTTTCCCCATCCTTTTATTTTCAAACTTCCCATATCATTATATTCGAGGTGAGCAACTTATAAAGAGCATATAATTGAGTCATCTTCTCTTATCCATTCTGCCAAACTCTGTGTTTTAATTGGTTTTAATAGATGATTTTCACTTAATGTACATGTTCATGTTAGTGCTTAACTCTGCCATTTATTTTTATTTTCTCTGTTTTTGGTTTCTCTATTTTCTTTTTCCTGACTTCCTATGGGTTACATGAACATTTTTTAGAATTACATTTGAGGATTCATGTATAGGGTTTTTGCATTAATGTTTTAGTACACCATTTTTAGTCGTTGCTGTAGGTATTACATCTATACATAACTTTATGACAGTCTACTGGTGTTAACATGTTACCAGTTCCAGTGATGAATAGAAATCTTTCCTATCTTTCTACCCTTCACCCTCCTCTTTTTATAATGTAACTGGAGGCCCAGTGTACGAATTCGTGCACAGGTGGGGTCTCTCAGCCTGGCCAGCGATCAGGGCCCATCAGGGCCGATCAGGGCTGGCCAGCTGCGGGGAGGGGCCGCAGGAGATTGGCCGGCCAGCCCCCCCCATCAGGCCGATGGGGTGCCGGCTGGCTGCAGGGAGGGACTGGGGGACATTGACTGGCTGTGAGAGTCTGTGGGATCACAGTGACCACCAGGGGGCAGCTCCTGCATTGAACATCTGCCTCCTGGTGGTCAGTGTGCATCATAGCAACTGGTTGACTGGTCATTCTGGTCGTTCGGTCCTAATGCTTGCTTAGGCTTTTATATATATAGATTGTGTTACATATATTTTTCCACATGCATTTAGAACCACAACATGAAATGTTATAGTTGGTACTTCAAGCATCAAATATAATTTAGAAAACTTGAGAGGAGGAAAAAAAAAGTCTATATTTACTCATATTTTTTCTTTTTCCATTGTTTGATGTCCAAAATTCTTTCTTTAATCATTTCCTTTTTGTTTAGAGAACTTCATTTAGCCATTCTCTCAGGAGAGGCCTGTTGTTACCAAATCCTCTTATTTTTTATTCATTTGATAATGTCTTGATTCCCCTGCCATACCTGAAGCCTATTTTCATTTGGTATAGGATTCTGGGTTGACAGTTCTGTTACATCAGCACTTATTTAGATCTTCTGTTTTAGCTGACAATGCTCCAGCAGGGAGGGGGGCACCATCTCATTTCTGCCATGTGGGTATAGAAGTCCGTGTTTCCCACTTAGTCTTCATTGACACCAGGTAGGTTTGGGCTCCTCATTACTGCTGAGCAGTGGTGACAGTTCCAGTTCTCCACTAAGCTTCCACTGATGCCAACATGGCTGGAATGGGTAGGACTGTCTCATTACTGTTACCCATGTGATTTCCACTGACATTGTTAGGGATGAGATGTGGACTCATTACCTGACTCTCTGATACCAACTACTCTGATACCAACCTAGTAAGGACAGGGAGAGATGAGTCATTACTGCTAGATGGGGGTGCCGTCTAGGCCTCCCTTGCCTTTTGCTGATGGGATTTGGGGGCCACACTTTTTTCTGTGGTGGTTAGCTGAATTAGAGCCGCTGTTATATAAAAGTTGTCTGTCTTGGCATGCTGCCCCTTTCCTGGTACTTTGTCTAAAGAGAACAAAATTTTGTCTCTTTTTGTCTGCACCCATTGGCATTTTGGGTTGTGGGCTTCTTCAAGTCCATGTCTGGGATCTTTGAGGTAAAAAGAAAACCCAGGGAGCTCACCACTATGTCATTCCTCAGGTCCCAAGTTTCCTATCCAGTTTACCTTTATATCACCACCTTCCAGTGTCTTCTTAAGTTTGTTTTATATATAACTAGAGGTCTGGTGCACAAAATTCATGCACACATAGGGTCCCTAGGCTGGCTGGCTACCAGGGCCAATCAGGGCCTTCCAGCTGCTGGCTGGGGCCTTCTTTCATTCCAAGATGCCCTCTGGTGGTCAGTGCACATCTTAGCAAGTGTTTGAACTCCTGGTCTCCCAGTCAAACTCCTGAGGGGACAATTTGCATATTAGGCTTTTATATATAGAGAGATGTCTAGAGGTTTTAGTTGTACTCAGTGGGAAAATGGGAAAAGAACATCTCTATTTTTTCAAAGTCAGAAGTCTAGACATTGAAATTTTAGAGCCTTATTCTATACTACAAAGGAGATTAATGGGAAGGAGCATTTCCCTCATATATGAATCCTCAGTAGGGCTCTCTTATTTCATTTCTACATCATGAAAAACAAGTGAAACAAAACAAAATGTAAAAAAAAACAGCTTTACCTGAGTTTGTACATGTCTGCTCATCTGTTATGGATGGTATACATTGGGGTAGCATGATCACAGCCTGCTCGGATAGTTTTTTTTATAAACCAGTGCACTGGGGTTTCATGAGCCCCTTCTAACAGCCATTGCTTCCTTCCACTGACTGTCAGGATTTGAACTGTTAACACACTTAGCTGGGTGTTAACATGGGCAGGAGTAGGAACTGCTACTTCTATGGGCTATATGGCTTGCTCTAGTAGAGCTAAGCGGGCCAGCTGTAAACCATCACCTGGTCTTAACCAACAGGGTTTCCATATAAAAAAGCTGTGTCAAGAACAGAAGAGCCATTCCACAGACCTCACCGCATACCATGCAAAAGTAAAGCCAGACCTAGGACCTACATCTCCTGCTATTAAGCCCAGTATTATTTTAGTTAAATCAGGCTGCTTCTCCCCCCATCCCTCAGCTCTCCAGTGAACTTTGCTCTGCCCCATAGCCATCCCAACCAGCTGCTTCATAGAAGTGCCCCTCATCTGTGGGAGAGGGGGGTCTCAATGAGATTGGTGGGGTGGGGAGAGAAACAGGAAAAAGAATGTGGCTGACTTCACCCAAACCTGTTCCTTAGAGTGAAAGACTGTGATTCACGGGGTCATTGGTCTCATCTTCATATCTGAAAGACAGTGTACTTTTTGTCTCCTAAGCCCTGTGTCTAGGTCGTTTGGGAAAGCACCTTGGAGAGTCAAGAATAAAATTGCAGGTCAAACAATGGATGACTGGAAAACTCGGCTTGTAATCAAGAGCATGCTTCCCCATATCACCATGGTGGGAAATCGTCAGGAGCCCAGAAAGCTCCAGGAATCGGTCAGACAATGGGCTATTGGGGGGGCGGGGGGTGTTGAATGCTTCTAATCTTAAACTTGAATGTAAGATGTATTATTGAAATTCTGTGTACAAATTGATGGCAGGGAACCAACTTAAAATGTAAAGAACTGGAATCTGACATAGAAGAGATCTAGGAGATGAGCTGACCCTACCCCTTGTGAGTTTCTGGAAAAACAGGACATACAGTCCAAGGCTCCATTCTGGACTCCCAGTCCAGTGATCTCTGCACTGCACCCCTTGAAATGGAAAGAGAGGAAGGGTGAAAGGGAAGAAATGCTTACCTTTTCTCTTCATAGAAATCAGGAGTGTGGGAATGACAGGCACTAGATGTATTGCATTAGCTTCCTAATACCACTGAGAACAGGAAGCCAGTAAGTAGGGTATAAAAAGATATTTCCATTAAACTCTTTGGCCTTTATGTCCTTTTAAAAACTCATTTGACAAATTTCTACTTTCCTCGCTTGGAATCCAGACATCATCCATGTATTGGAAAATCAGGGTTAGGGTTTCCAGCGGTAGGTCTAGGATCCAGAATGACAGAAGGGGCCATGAAAGCCATTGGTTAGTTGAATTTGACAATAAAAGCCTGCATCGTCGCCAAACTACCAAGATTGGCTCAGTTAGTAGGAGTTGCAGCAAACACAATGGTTGTTATCTCAGTGTATTAGGTCTACAGACCTAATCTCTGAAATTAATAGAGCAGAGAGGAAATGGCTCTTATAGAGCCGTGGGTCTGCTTCCTTCCTGTTCAGAGAACTAGGAGCTCAGAGTTCTGAGATAATGTCATTTCGCATAACTAGAGGGCCTGGCTTCTCCAATCCCAAGGGTAATCCACTTTCAGTAAATTGGCTTTCTATTTAGTCTAGGATTCTCATATGTGCACAGGGGTGAGAGCAGATTGTTGAAGTTTTGCTTCTCTTTTTTTCCTCATTGTCTTCCACAAACAAGGTATTGAGAATGTGGTACCAAGTTGAGTATATGGACATTTACAAAACTATGTTTGCTGGAGTTCCAGAGATGGTAGACAGAGGAGATGGCAAAGATGGAGCAATTAATTGGCCAGTGGTCTGTCCTCCAAATTGCCAGCCCTTCTGCCAGGGATTTTCTAGAAGGCAATCTCTAACCTCCACCCCAATTACTGTTTTGTTATTTATCTTCTATAAGCAACAAACCCTTGGTAATACATCCAGAGCTCATGATTAGTTTCGGCATGAGTTTCAGTTTCTCCTTTGTGTCACACTTGTTCCCACTCCTTGGAGGAAAGGTGGATAAATTGTAGTTTTGGGGGTCCTCTTCTTCTTCTCCTCAGGGACCCCACCAATACCCTTTTAAAAAGTGTGACTAGTAAGTAACTTCTTTGGTTTTGATCAGTTTAGACCTCCATGTCAGAAGGGTTTTACTTAGATGGGTCTTTGGAGTGGCCATCTGTGCCCTCACTCCAAAGATGTTACCATTACTCATGCCATTTCCGGGCTTGACTTTTCTTTGTATATGACCTTTAGAGCCCTTTGTAAGCCTTGCCCAAAATTCACCGTGTTGCTTTAGAGTCACATGTTGTACTTGATCAAAATCAGCCCTTCTCCCTCTTCTTGTGACATATCTTATTTTCCACCCTTGGCTCTGAGTGACCTGTTTTTTATAGTCCAAGCTGTTAGAAAACCCAGGATTTGCCCCAGTTGAGGGGATTAAAAAATATGTCTCACACTACAAAAGCCACTCTTCTCAAATGAGTCCTCTTCACAATAAAAAACAAAAAATCAACACTTGTCTTCTTGGAAGGTGCATATGGTCTCTGACAGGATGGCAGTGAGGGTGCCCATTCTATTGGCCTGGCCTGAGAGATATACATGGAGTCTGGCCAAGTCAGGCACCACTGTACCCTCAGCTGGCAACCAAGGCAGCTCTTGGTTTGAGCGCAGTTGAATGTTTGTGGCTGGTCAATCCCTGCAACCTCTGGAAGACACCTGGTGCTAACATGGAGCTCTGCTACATGTGCTGAGGAAATCAGCAGCCCAGGTGTTTGCTGACTGAGGGACATAAATGGGTGGATTAAAAGCAGAGGGGCCTGTCAGTTCACCATGAAACCGCTGTCCAAACAAGTTATTGCAGGGCCCAGAATGATCATCAGCAAGAGGTCCTTTGCAGGAGCTTGTCTTGCACTTCCAGGGTGACCTGAACTGGATATCAGCTGTTTCTGTTTCTTGCTCTCCCTCTGATGCTCCCTAATGTCCAGGGACAACACCCTGCTCCCCAGATCCAGGGAACTGTGTGTATGTAGAAGCACATCCCTTACACCACTCTCCCCCATCCTATAATCATACTCAATATGAAAATCTGATTTAGACACTCAGCTTACCTGGTTTTCTCGTCCTTTCCAAAAACCAAACTAACAACAACAAAAACAACCTTGTCTCAAATCTAGGTCTGTAAATAAAATTCTCAATCCGAAAGGACAATTCATGTAAACAGCCCTGGGATTTCCATGTGAATAACTGACAGACCACTTGCAGGAAAACATCCATCTGATGTGATGATTGTTCTTGGCCTAAGTCCAGGGCTCAGAACACCTGGATTCAAGTCTTGCTTCTGCCCCTAACTTACCTATGGGGCTTTGCCCATCATTTGTCCTTGTTAAAGGTCAAGTGAACCAGGAATAAGGATAGCCACCTAACTGGTTTGACTCAGTGGATAGACCGTTGGCCTGAAGGGTCCCAGGTTCAATTCTAGTCAAGGGCATGTACCTTGGTTGCGGGCACATCCCCAGTGGGAGGTGTGCAGGAGGCAGCTGATCGATGTTTCTGACTCTCTGTCCCTCTCCCTTCCTCTCTGTAAAAAAATCAATAAAATATATATTTTTTAAAAGAATAGCCACCTTTAATTGAGCATTGACTAGGTGTCAGGAACTTGCTAAGAATTTGGGGGTATTATCTCCTGTAATTCTTAGAATAACCCTGAGATGAAGAGGATATCTCTAGGAACTGAGGCTCAGAGAGATTAAACAACTTGGCCAAAGTCACTGAACATTTGAGCATCCACCCAAGGTTAATAAGGCATCCAATCTCTAGTTAGTATGTGCAGTTTTAACAGGAGGCAGAAGGAGAATGTTTGGTCTTTCCAATTAAGATATCCATTCCTCCCTAGATCAGTGGGTTGATTGAGTACTAGTAGGAGAATCTCTAAATTATTAGTGCTTCTGATGGGAGTGCTCCAGAGCTTGCATGGAGTTGGAACCCAGTATACACATCACACATCATCTCTCTTTCAGTTGATACCTCACTGCAAGTGCAAATCTTTCCCAGCTCTGAGCAGCCACCTATTCTGTTCACAAGGCAGTGCCAGACAAAATGGGGTAGCTGAGGGCATTAGACAGACAGTTGGAGAAGGAAGGACATACTGCTTCTTGCTCATTTTCTGTGTCTCATCATTTAATGACAATAAATGGTTCACTCTGTAGGTTACAGTGAATTGGCATAGTGGGTATTCCTTCTGAGCTTCCCAACTGTTCTCCATCTTGATGGATGAGGACACTCAAGTCTGAGAAATCCAGTGACCTGCCGAAAGATGCCCATCAAGCAGGTGGAGAGCTATATCAAGTGTCCCCATTTGGGTTGTCCCTAGTGCAGCCTGCTTTCCACCCACAGTATGACCAAAACTAACTCCTCACCCCTTCTTACCTCTAATAAGGCTGAAGAAGGAGGAGAGGAGAGGCCTGAGTATAACAAGGAATGTGGAGAAATAGATGGCTACAAAAATACTGGCCTTGTTTTAACTGGCCCTCTTCTTTAGACTGATGAACTTAGTAATAACGGAAGAGGTCTGTCCATGTCCTTCCGCAGTGTGTGGTTGGGTTTAGGTTCTGTATCCAATGTCCTTGGGGCCACATACTTTTCATTTTAAACAGAGCATAGGAGTCAGTAAGGAGACCTTGAATCTGATCCCAAGGATGTAACCAGTGCTTTGTGATACCTTCAGCATGTCCCTTCCTTGTAGAGGCCCCATTTCCAGGGTCTCTCCTATGTGTCCAGCCCTGGGCTAGATTCTGGATGACAGCAGTTCACAGTCAAGGAGCAAACAATTTCTAGGCTGCCTCCATTGGGAACAACTCTGTCCTGTTCTGTAATTCTACTTGTCCTACTCTGCAATGGTGAGGAGAGGATGGTTGATGACTCTCATGTGAGGTACTTTGTACAAATTAGCTCATCTACTCCTGTGACAGGGATTAATATTTCTACTTCACTACTGAGGAGACTGAAGCTCCGAGACAATAGGGACTTTTCTAGTGTTACACAGTCAGTAGGCGGGAAATTCAGACCACAAACCCAGACAACTTGACTCCAAAGCTCTTCCCCCTCTGCTGCTTCCCATTCTCATTTTAGGAGCTCAGATAGTTAAACCTTCTGCAGGCTGGCATGCCACTTGGGGGTGAAATGGAGTCCCAGATTACCTGGAGATTTTATTACAGTGCAGACATCCAACAAACAGAGCAAGAGTGGAAGCATCTTTATTTCATCCTGGTGGCTCCCTGGAACCTTCTGGCTACCACCATCCACTACCCAGCCTGAAAACAGCAAGCCAGGCAGATTAAACACCCCCACAAGGAGGTCAGAACAGTCAGCTAGGACCTGGGCTGAGTTATCTAAACAGCCTTCTTGGAGCCCAGAGAAGGCCAGTGTCCCCTGCTCCATGGAGACTGTAGGCATGTTGCAGATGTGGCTCCACCTCCAGGCACCAGGTGATCCAGAGATAGGTTATGGGAGAGGCTGTTGTTCCTGACACAGATCTTGCATGAATCTCTGTGTTTCAGTCTCTGCACCAGTAAAATAGGGTTAATAATCTGCCCTCTGCCCACGTCAGGGTTTCTGGATGATGATGAACAAGATATGGATATGAATGCTATATAAACAAGGCATAACTTCTGTTAGCACTTTTTTTTTAATGATGAGAGGTTGGCACTGGCTCAGAAGGGCGATGGGAAATGT